AATCTATAAGGGGAACAGCCCCTAACACCTCTTTCCTTAAAAGAAATATAATCATTAAATAAAAATGGGAATATTTAACGAACAATCTTTTGATCATCCTTTTGCTAAAGGAATACAGGGTGCCCCAGGAGTTGGATTTAGTTTAACCGCAGATGGAAATTATGATATGAATAAAAAAAGACTCACAAATGTTGGAGCACCCAGTGCTAATACTGATGCTGCTACAAAGAAATATGTTGATGATAATTCTGGTGGATCACCCTCGACAACACGTTTAACAGTTGATTCAAACATCGATATGAAGGACCAATATCGTATTCTTAACCTTAAACATCCAATTGACTCAGATGAGCCAGCCACAAAACAATACTCAGACAGCAAATTTCTTGACAGAAATGGTTCCCGAACAATGATTGGTAATCTAAGCATGAATAATAATAAAATAATTAAACTTGGCACACCAACAGTCAATGATGACGCAGCAACCAAAAAGTATGTGGATGATACATTAAGCGAGACAGTACCATCTACAAGGCTAACAGTTGATTCAAACATTAATATGAAGAATACATACCGAATTACAAATCTTAGCACTCCACTAGATGGAAAAGAACCTCCTACAAAAGATTACGTAGACAACACATTTCTTGACAGAGATGGTTCCTTCCCAATGAAAGGTAATCTCAATATGGCTAATAATCGAATATTTAATCTACCAGCTCCAAATGGAGGTAATCAACCAACACCATTAGCTTTTACAGATTTAAAGTATGTTGCCCGTGATGGTTCATCTACAATGACTAATAATCTAAACATGGATAATAAAAAAATAATTAACCTTAGACCACCAACATCAGACACAGATGCAACAACCAAAAAGTATGTGGATGACTCAATACCTCATACTAGTTCTTTTATAAAAAAAGATGGAAGTGTATCAATGACTAGTAGCCTAAATCTTGGAAACAAAAAAATAGTTGGTCTCGCAACTCCAACATCAAACACAGACGCCGCAACCAAAAAGTATGTGGATGATAACACAGGTGCTCCAGATTTAAGCGATTATTTAGAAAAAGATGGTACCGTTGCTATGACTGGAGATCTTAATGTTGGTAATAATAAAATAATAAATCTTAGTAAACCAACCCAAGACAATGACGCGGTAAATAAAGATTACGCTGACAAACTAGTTCACAAAACAGCAGTTCAACCAAGTCATTACAACGACCAGTTTGCTTATCTCATGTCAAGTGGGTCTCAATGGACTGATGAAATAGATACCGGAACCAGTTTTGTTATAAAAAAAATAGGAGATTTAGCACCAAACCAAGGAAACTTTCATGATTATAACCACAAAGTTATTTTTATTGCTATAAACAAAAATTCCCAAGGTGGATATAAGTACAAAATGGGAATCAACTTTTACAGGTTAACTGCTAATACCGAATACACACTATGCTTGGAAATACTCAACACTGATTATCAACTATGGCATAAGTCTCAAATAAGCGTGGACAAAGGAACTTCAACAGGATTATCAATTGGAAATGTTAGTATAAGGAAACTATCTCATAGGTACACACAATCAAATGGGCAACAAAAAATGTATTACCATAGAATAATAGTTAAATTCCGGAAGTTGTCAACTGGAAATAGGTTCTTTCTTCATTTTTTGGTTAATATACCACAAGATGGAACTGACTTGGGTGTTTATCCGAGACAGTTTTCAGGAGTTTATATAATTACTTATGGAATCGTGGGAACATTTAGCAATATCGATCCAGATAAAGTTTATGATTATCACACCGCATTTGATATCAAACCAACAGAAGTGGTTTACAATGTTGATATTAATGCAAATAATAAAAAAATATTAAATGTTAATCTTGATAGAAACAATAACAATAGCACGGCAACAGTTGGAATGGTAAAGGAAATAAAACCTCACACTATAAATGATTTATACAGAAATTATTTCGAAGAAGTTTATGATTTTACTAACGCCGCTAATTACAAATTAAGTAGTACCGCATCTGGTATTGTTTTTAACTATTTATCTTCAAGTAGTGGTAATACTTCAAGAGATATTAGAATACCTGATAAAACCATAGATAATATAAGAAAAGAAGGTCTAAATGTTAATGGTTATAATATTATTTTTACTCCTCCTAATGGTATTACAAAATATACTTTAGGCTTAATATTTTATCACTGGAGAAATAGAGCATTTGCATTATATAAAAGAGATACAAATGGTCGAAGTTTTTTATTAGAATTACGTTATTCTTTATTGGGTAATTCAATAGATTTAGCTGTTAATAATTTAACAAGTCAATTAACCATGCCAAGTGATTTTAATGGAAAAAAAATTGTTATATGGTTGGCAGAAGATTTTAGCCAAAATATTACAAAAGTTAAAATAAGTAACTACAGCGCAATATTAAGCTTACAAGCCGTTAGATACACTAACCAACAAAAGTTTGTGTTTACAACTCAAGATGGAGTGTTAAGTAAAATAATGTTTTCTTCAAACTTTTACGACACTGATTCTGAGCAATATCATAAAGTATTGCTTCAAGAAAAGTTAAACGGAAGTTATGTACTTTAGATACACTAACCAAGGGTTAGATACACTAACCAAGGGTTAGGTAATAACATACACAAAAGAATAAAATGAAAGACATCTTTGAGTTTAATCACATTGATAAATCTCTGTCAGAACCAGATATTAATGTTCTAAAAGATTTTTATAAACATTATCACAAAAAATTTTGGTGTTTTAAAAGGTGTTATAAGAGTTATAAATTTCTTGATGATGTTTTTACTATAACTGGAATAAGCCTTGTAGCTATAGGAACAATTGCTGGTGGGATAACACTAAACCCAGTTATTCTTGGTGTTATAAATGGCGCTGGGATTATTGTTGCGGGTATTGGAAAGAAAAAGAATTTCCAAAGAAAAATTGAGATGTCAAAGATCGCATATACGACTTATGAAAAGGTACTAGTAGAACTGAGATCAGCTCTTAGAGGAGATGAATGGAATAAACAAGAGTTCATTGATAGGATGAAACTGATAGATGAAATGATAATTGATCAAACTCCTGTAGCAGATAGATTTGCTAGTAAGTATAACAAGAAATTTAATATAAACAAGTAATAAATGGAAGAGTTACGCATTTTGAAAAAAAGTTTTGTAAAAAATTTTGAAATTACTTTAACTTCTGTTGGAAAAGATTTGGTGAAGGAATTGGAAGAGAAATATAGTATTGATGACCAAGTTTGTCTTGATTATGCTATTAACCTTTGCCAAAAGATTCCCAAAATGGAGGGAGTTAGCGCAGAAGATGAGAAGAAGTGTCAGGAATTTTTGAAAAGTTTTTATTATTTAGATGAAATTAAATCAATTAATTAGAAGCTAATTTCAATATTATGGTAATATCGAAATCTAATCTAGATATTTGAAAAAATATTTTTGCCCATTTATTTTCGAAGTAGCTGTTTTACAATATTTTTTCCCCTCACATATCATACTAACCTGACCTGGATTTATTCCCAACATTTTGTAAACCGAATAAAAGCTATCAAAATTTGTTTCTTTTTTTGTAAACAAATTTACTGCTGTAACCCTTTTTGGATTTTTGCGATAACAACCAAATTTTCTGTTTTTGGCAGATTTTCTACTATTTTCGCTTGCAGTTACTACCTCCAAATTTTTTAGCCTGTTGTCAAATCTTATGGAATTAATGTGGTTGATCTGTTTGTTTTTTTCTATTAAACCATAAAAGCACTCATAAACAAACCAATGAGATAAATAACTTTTAGACTTGGTTATAGATAAACGCATTGTAAAACTTAAATAGCCACTGTTACCTAGATTTCCTTTTTTAACGTTTCTTAGCCTTATATTCATGATTTCACCGTCTTCATTTGCAGCGTATTTTTTATAAACTGGATGAGCAAAAAACTTTTTTCCGTTTTCCAAAATATATTTTTTCATTTTTATCTTAGAACCTATTTCTTTATACTTCATTTTTTTATATAAGCATAATATAGAAAATGTTGAAGGAGATAGTAGCATACGTTAACTTCTGCTTTCCGACTGCTAGAACACAATTTTATTGCGACAACTTTATTAAAGCTTGCCTTGTTTACCAGTTTCTATACGCAAAGTATTTTAACCAAACAATGGACTTAGATAAAATTATTTACAAACTGTCTAGTGACAGGAATTCTATTAGAACTAAATCTGAAATATTGACTAACCATTTGATTTTCAATTTAGCATTCAGAGCTTTCTGGAATCACTATAAAATAGGAAGAGGCAGTGTTTATGTTTTTGACTCTTTTATTAAAGAGAACGAAGTTATTGGATATTTGACAGGAATTTTATACTGGATTTTTCATTCGGGGGTAGCTAGAGATTAAAATTTTATATTAAGTTTAATATAAAATTACTCTTTTAGTCTAAGATAAGTTTTCCACCATCTGTCATAATATTTTTTTGTTTCTTTTGATATATTAAGCTTAATTTTGTTGTTTAATCCCATTTCCTCCAAAATTCTATTGATTATATAGAAGATATTAATCATTCTCTTACGGCTAAACTTTTTATTTACCTTTTTTATAACTTTCTCATCTATTCCCATCAACTTTTTGTACAATAAATTCTTATCTTCTCCTGACAAATTTGGAATCTGTTTTATCTTTTTCTCGTAATAGTATTTTCTCTGGTAAACGCTTTTCTTCCTAAAATATAATCTGTCGTACTCTTTTGGATCAAAGTAACCTAATACGTGCCCGTTTGTTATTCCACATTCTTCACAGATCTTATAACCAAAATCTATTGTCCAAAATGTCCTGTTTTCACAATTAGTGCATTTAGCTTTCAAATTTGATTCATCTGTGAAATTTTTAGTATAATTATGCAAAATTTCTAAATATTTTTTTATTTGATCTTCTGAGTAATTCATTTATTTTTTAGTTTTTTAATTTTTAATTCTACCTTATTGCTTTCGTATCAACTTTGTTGCTTAGTACTAATCTTTTGTCATCTTCGCAGCTCAGAGCTATTTTATTTACTTCTTTAGAATATATATCGTGATACTTACTTTGTATTATTTTCATACTTCGCATTTGTTTCTCCCCCGTGAATAAACAATCAAAATAATGCTCAAATGTAATTCCTTTTGAAACTACAGACTTTTTTATTCCCTTGCACTTCTTAACATTTTTGCCATCTTCTATTTTAAAGCTGTAAAGCTTTGGGCGAAGCCCAATAAAATGTGTGATTTGTTTTCCAGCAACTTCATCCTTGAACATTCCAATTACTTTTTTGTTTAACCCTGTTGGAATTCCAGATGGATGTGATGCTGAATAGTCTGATGTATCAAACTTGGATTCCACATCTTTTTTAATATCTTTGTAGAAATCTTTTGTTTGTATCTTGTACATAAGGGAATCAGTATCTGTAAAAAGTAACTCCGCTTTTGTATCGTATTTGTCTTTTATGTAATTGTAGTGAAAATCAAACATTAAGGTTTTGGATAAGTCTAAGATTGCTTGACCAACGTAAACCGGTTTGTTAAAATAGACCTCTGTTTTTTTCATATGTGCTGCAATTAAGTTTTTATCGAAAATAGTTGCTCTTTCAAAATTAGGCCTGCTTGAAAGTCTAAGAGCTATTTTACGATTATCAACCAGTTTTATGTTTTGCCTTTTTCTAATGTTTTCTATTGTCTTTCCAAAAACTACATTATTCATGAGTTTGAAAAAGTCTTTCTCAAAACTGTTGGATGCTGTTTTACGCAATTCTGTATTTTTTCTTATATAGGGTTCCATCCAGGGGCATTGTTCAAAGGATATTGCTCTGTGAACAGCTTTAAGCTTGATTCCCATACTGAGGTACTGTTTAAGATTTCTATAGTGTAAAACATAATTAGTTCTTGGTTTAAAATGGCATATAAGTTTTTCAAACCCATTTACTTTTAAGGTTTCAGGAGCAAGTGGGTAATTGTTATGTAACTCCCATAGATGTCTTGGGTAAACCAAATCAACCTCAAAAATATAGCCCTTTGTTGGATTGCTTTCTAATATTTTTTAACCCGACTTTTTCTAATATTTTCAACCCACTCAAAACCATGTGTTGGGAGTGATTGAGACATTGCCCAACCGTAAAGATTATTTGCATCAAGGTATTGAATAAATGTAGACGGTTTTTTGGGGTCGTAATTTTTCATGTACTTGTTATTAGCTTCTGCGTATCTCTTTGATATATGAGTTATTCCGCCACGTATTCCCCTTTCAAACATCATTAACATATCGTAATCGTCAAGTAGTTGTAATTCCTGCTTTGTTGTTTTAAGACAAGCATCCCAGGCAAGGCCTGGAGATGTGTAATAATGAGCTGGATCAAGGTTGTAATGTTTTAGACAAGTTTTCCTGAAATTCTCAAACACATCGGCTAATAGTAATACATCGGATTTAAGATATAAGTCGTGGTAATCTTTGATTGTTTTGCAATTAAACGTTTGAAATACTTTTTGAGCATGTTTGTAATCTTCATCTGATATTTCTTCATTATTAAGCTTTGAATAAAATTCTTGTTTTGCTGGGAGCTGTGTTTCAAAAAACTTGCTAAGAGATGAAACATAGTCGTACGGATAAACTCCTTTACGAGTAATTAGTTGAGTATTATGTTTAAACTTTCTTTTTGTATTAATGAAGTCTGTTGGCTGTAGATTTGAAACAAGTTTTGATAGCGATGTTTGAAGAAATTTAAAAGAGTCTATAAATCTGATTTCAAATGTAATTTCACACATTTTCCCTGTTACACTTTTGTACTCACCTACTTTAATATGTTTTGAAAAGCTTATGTATTTCTCTTCCGTAGACGGAATACAATCTAATTTTCCTGGAATTTTAGCAAGTTGCTTTATAAATAAATGCGCGTCGTAACCTTGAAGATTATGAAATATTACTGGAAGAACTCTTGGTTTACGACATTTCAAATTACACTTATTGTGCGCAGCACCTCTGTATTTTCCCGTAAAATGGCAATGATCTCTAACTCTGTCTTTACCCAATTCTTCCTCACATATGTTGCAATATTTAGCTTTTTTAAAAGATTTCTCTTCATCTTTTGTTAATAACATTGGTTTTGGTTTTCGGTAGTATTCAGTATATATTGATTTGGTGTAACCCACAATTCTATTTACAAAAATAGCCGCCACATTATCATCTTCTTTTTCCTTTGTGAAGCTTTCTGTTTTAAACGAGTCTGTTATCCCTTTAAGATAAAAACAAAATCCAGATGGCTCGTGTTTTTGATAGTCTACGTCGTAAGATTTACTTGGATCTGGAACACAAGTTAATACAGGTTTTGTAAAACACTCAAAATCAGCGTATATTACAAAAGGAACTGGGAACTTTTTTTTATAATTTTTAAAATAAATACTTGAACCTTTTTTAGGCATTTTAACAGTAACCATTTTGTTGTTGGAACAATATTGCGCGTGTTTATCAAAACGCTCTTGTACCTTAAAATGACACAAACATCTTTTACAAATAAATACACCTCCAGTAACTCTTGTTGCAGTTAGTTGAGCGCCTATTAACCTATGAAGATTTTTAATGAGTCCATAATGGCAATTTCCATTTTCTTCAAAAAGAAATAAATCTATTGTTTTTACGCAACCCTTATTTGAGAGTTTGAGAGGGTAAATGGTTTTTCCTTCAACCGAAAATACTGTTATACCTGGTATATTTGGGTTAAGCTTTTCAAACTTATTTATGTCTTTAATACTCATTGGAAAAATTATACCCCTTGTTTCTAATTCGTTTTCATACTTTTTCAAATCTGATATTCTCTCATTATCTCTTGGTTTTGGGTGAAGGTATCTAAGTATGCACCAAATAAAGCATTTGTCGTCTTTGTTTTTCAGATTAATAATAGCCTTTTTATTTTTAATCCAAAGTGGAAGATCTATATAAGATGAACCCTTGTGTGGCGAGTATTCAACTACATTTAACTGTAATTCTTTGACACTCTTAAAATACCATCCACTTCCATTCTGCTGGTATTTATCAAGATCTTCAGTCATTTTTTTAACGCTTTTGTTTATTAACCTTTCAATATTTGTTGATTTTAAAACTCTTTTTTCATCTGTTCTGAAATAGGCTTCATCCTCCTTGAAAGCATAAATTCCATCTTTATTTGTAAGCTGTTGCTCCATATCACAAACAAGAACTAAATTTACTTTAACGTCTTTGTTCTTTTTGAAGAAGTAATAAAGAAGATCTTTATTTTTTTCAAAAAATTCGGTGGGGGTTAAATTTGGATCACCCTCTATTTTGTACTGATTTGCAAACTCATCAAGAGCTGTTTTAAACTTGACTATATCCTTGTCATATTCCATTGTCGCCTTTTTCAGAGCTTTACGCAAGTAAGCTGGGGTATCTTCAGGAATTTTTTTATCTTTTATACACTCATCAAAATATTCCTGAAAAGTCTTTTTTTGTTTTTTCTTCTTTTTGTAAGTTTTTTTAATATTTATTCCCTGTCTTACTTTTTCTCTTGCTTTTTGCAACCGTTGAAACCTTTTGACTAGTTTTCTTCTTTCGTTTAATTCGGAGTACTCTTTTTTTAGAGATTTTTCTTCTTTCGCAATAATTTTTTTTATTTGATCCAAAGACATATCCTGAAATTGATTAAAGGGAGTTGAACCCTGTGAACCTGTTTGGTTAGACATGATGTCTTATAATGAACTATTTTATTATAAGACTTTATTATTTAACTTCAAATTTATTTTTAGCGCAAGTTTGGTGTATTTGGTGTATTTGGTGTATTTGGGGGATTTGGGGGATTTGGGTAAATAGAGTATATTTTTTAATAGTAGTTAGGGAAAGATATATGCCCGACGAATCCTATTTTTCGTTTTTGTCCGTGCACGAACCGTGAGGTGAGAGCACGGACAATGACGCAAATTAGGCATGCGATGAGATGTATCTTTCCCTAACTACTGGCTACTTAATATTTCAAAGTGGTAGCCAATTCTATTAAGTCGAATAAGTCCTGCGTCTCCAGAAAAAAAAAAACTGAATATAAACGAAACAAAGCAAGAAGAAACAGAACAAACAAGGAGAAAACGGCCGGTTTACTAGATGCTATTTTAGAGCTGAGATCCTCCAAATTGACAAGTCTTGAACCCAAAATTAATGATTCTAGCAGGTAATCAAAGTAAGCAAAGAGGACCCCTACTTGGGAAATGGGAAACCAAGATGGCGTTTGCCAGCGACAGAGTTTCCTAGTGACATGTGTGTCATCAGTTTTGCATGATCGTCGCAGCCATTGGTGCCTGTCAGCGCTGAATTCAGTCGGGGACTTTTTCCTCTTCTTGTCACGCTTGCGGCAAACTTTAAAAAAATATTGGTGTGTTATATGAAACGCCTGCGCTAAGATAACAACAACTAAGGATTGTTTCAAACGTCGTGCTACTGCCGTGCTAAGTTGGCTCGACTGTAGCTCGACTGCAGCACGACACTAGCACGACTTGGTTTCAGACGTCGAATTTAATTCAGTCGAATAGAACGGCTGTTGCCGGAAACAAAACACGAAAATAAAGAAACGGATTAGAAGACTTTTAAATATATTCTAATGTATTTATAATTTATGAATTGAGATCGGTAGCACGACGTTTGAAACCAAGTCGAGCTACTGCCGTGTAGCACGGCAAGCTTGCCGTGCTACACGGGAGCCTGGGTCGGGCACGGCAGTAGCACGACTTGGTTTCAAACGTCGAGCAACTTCCGTGCTAAAGTCGAATTTAATTCGATCAATTTAGTTCAGCGCGGCAGTAGCACGACGTTTGAAACGGGCCTAATAGTATTTTGAAATCGTAGAAGAACCCTTGTTCCCACTTCTGTCACTTATAATCCCTTCGGGAAAGGAATAATCGTGTCTTTTAAACTTGCTTTGACGATCAATCTCTTATATTAAGACCTACTATAGGCTAAAGTGGACTTGCAGACGCTTTTTACCATCGTGCGACTACGAAGAGGGACCTGCATTTGGTATAAGCAGTACTTTCTCCAATCTTCCTACAACATTTAATCAATCCATTAGTTATCACAATCGTTTCACGCTGAAACCTTGAAACTTAATCCCATGTCTTGTTTAAAAAAGAATGCGTCACAAAACAAACTTTCTGTTTCTTTTCTTCGTGATCTCAATAAGCACAGCGTATACCGCGGGATCAAACTAACGATGCGGAAGTCAATTTTATTGATGCAGATGTCGATGTTGGTACTAATGCTACTACCCGGGTACTACTCAAGGACAGTGACGTAAGACCAGTATATATGCAGTTTTGTTGAGTTGTACATATTCAGTGGTTTGTGAAAATTGTTCAGAAACTCGGCAGTTTTAAAATAGCCGGTCTTCCTGATCCTGGGCTGCAGGAAATTAAACTTTTAAGATGAACGATAAACGGAACGTTTTGTTACTCTATCTGCTGGATAGGCATATTCAATTGCAAATAACAGCCGTAGCCAGGTGACTTTCTCTGCTTTGCTGGATTGATTGGTAGGGGGGTTGTTTAAAGCACTTTTTGGAATACCCATATTTTTCGAGATTGGTGAAGGTCATTATTAGGATATGACAACCATTTTTATGTTTTTATGAAACTTTTGCATAGAAATAAATGCACCTTGTTGCACCGGAAGGCTATTATATCATATTTTCGCAAGAAATCATTGCCTCAAGATCAGGAACCTAGGCATTTCTGGACTACCTTTCGCCCGTTTTTGCATTCACGCAAATCACAGCAGGCCAATAATGTTTTCTTGAGCGAGAATGATCGTGCGATCACTGACAAACAGTCAATTGCCAACATTTTCAACAAGCACTTTGTGAATATTACAAGCGACATCAAGGAACCTGAAAGTAATTGTGGGGCTAATTTTGAAGATCATCCTAGCATTTCTGCGATCTTAGCAAACCTTCCTGAAGTCCACTTTTATTTAACATTTTTATAAATAACATTTTTAATTTTGTTAGTCATTCCAGATTGAATATTTACGCGGATGATCAGCAAATCTATGATTCTGACAAGGGCCCTATGACACTTCACCTTAGAATGGAAAATGAATTGGTTACTATAGTTAACTGGTATACTATAAATGGTCATGAGGCAAACCCTGAAAAATTTCAAGCCATGATTTTGGGTAAAAAGACATAAGACTTTAATTTTAAGATTGGGAATGCGAAAATTGATAAGGAAATTGGTATTGACTTACTAGGTGTCAGTTTGGATAAGTGAACTCAATTTTTCCAAGCATATTTCTTATGTCTGCACAGGGGTACGCAATCAAATTCAAGTCATTAAAAGATTTAGACATAAATTAAGTGACTCATCTAAAGCACTGCTTTAAAAGGCTTTTATTATACCACACTTTCAGTACTGTAGCACTATCTGGCATTTCTGTGGTGCTAGGAAAAATTAGAACTCCTCAATAAACATGTTTTACCAATAATTCTTGATGATAAAGTCAGCACATGGTGCTTTTGGAAAGTCTGGACCTTGTAAGCTTGAGAGAGAGAAGATTTCTCGATATGTTGATCTTAGTTCATAAGTCCTTTGACGCAGCTACACCTGCCTGCATATCAGCATTATTTACACCGAGAACCAACATTAATGGGCTTAGGGGTGTAAACAAGTTGCAGTTACCGCGTGTAAATACTACATCTTACGGGAAAAACTCCTTCAAATTTCTTGCGGACAAATTATGGGCAATGGAAACAACTGCCTTGACTTTGTAACTAGCTAGATAATTTTCTCTTAATATTTTCTTGATTGTTTTCACATATAATTTTTAATTACAAGCATGTATATATACCTGGTTTTTTGAAAACCGGGCTACTAAAACAGGACAGTCTCTCGCACCGATTGGTAATTTAATGGCCCTTGTTACTTGAAAGGTAAAAGCTCGCCTCAAAAAGAAATTCTTGAATACATGAGCTTCCATTTGATAGAATCGTCCATCTTGAAGGTTACAAAAGTGAAGCTTTTTTCATTAGTCTGGAAAATAAGGCATTTTAAGGGACAATTTTTAGTGTTGGCGTCACCGATTGCAAAGCCATTTCCCCAGTTCCCCCCATTTTTCATTGCAACTGGTCTGCCAAAAAAATCTAAACCAACACTGCTCAACAAAACCAAGTCCTACAATTACCAGTTTAATTGCTTGCGGACTTGGACTGCATTATCAACAGAGTGGATCATTGCTTGCATGCAAACAGCACAAACAAACTCACAACAGTGCGAAAACACATCAAACTTTGCAACAACCTCACCCTCTGGAATTTAACCAGGCTACCCCAAACGCATACCAGATGATTGCCCTGTGTCTGTGCAACAACATGACACCCAGCCAGACACAAACCCCCCTCAATCTGAGGGAGACATTGAGCTTTGAAAGACAGGGGTAAGTCCTGGTAAAAAAACAAACTGCAAATCCACACTCTAGACACGAAGCCTAGTCTTTAGAACAACGCCACCCCCCTGGAATTTAACCAGGCTACCCCAAATGCATACCAGATGATAGCCCTGTGTCTGTGCAACAATAGGACACTTAGCTTGACGGAAGCCCCCCTCAAAAACAATTAGTTAGCCCAACGGGGGCAACAGGCCGGCCCCTACCCTTGTGCATATTTTCTGGAATCTCCACTGATTTCTGTCAATTCCAGGAAGTTGTTTGTAGCCCATGGTCAAGAGCTGAGGGTGGTTTGCCCTGAAGAGGGAGATTGTTATTTTTACACTAAAAGCATCACGGCTTTAAGCTAATTAAGTTTTAAAAGATATGCCTGCAATGTGCTGGACTTGACTTAAGATTTCAGGCAACCTGGTTTTCAAAACTCCAGGTAGAATATACTTAATTTTTTTTCTTTGAATTGTACATATATTTATCTATTTCTCGGAGATATAAGCGCTTTTGGGCTACTCTTCAATCCGAGTTGAAATAAAGTTTACTACTACTACTACTATGGTCACTGCTTTTTAGGGTGCGAGAAGTTTACTCGTTTACATGGAAGGATTGAATTATACTGGTAAAAAGCTTATCAAAACGTAAATATACATGGATGAAGACAAAGATGACCCCTCTTTCGAGCCTGGAGATAATCCTGGACAAAAGAAAAAGGTAACATTCAAGCCAGCCTCAATGGTGGACATGAAACCATGTGATGATCTTCACCGATATCTGGTCGACAAATTTCACTCATCCACTAAATCCAAATCAGTTTTATTCCAAGAAATCGATTTTTCAGCCTACAAATCTGCTGCTAAGGTTGTCTCCTTTGTAACATCTGAGGACCGGCTACTTTTATGGATCAAAATCTTCGCTGTGCGATACTTTGATCACCTGAACGTGATGGGATATCGAGTAACATGGCAAGAGCAAGAGTCAC